TGAAAATTCAAATGCAGCATCAGAAAGCTACATTAACTTACATCGTGTCTACACCGGACGCGAGCGGCGCGACGCAATAAAATACAAGAACTCGTTATAATCAGTGATGCTGTCTTGGATGCGATGCGGCGCGACACGACAAATCCCTGAGAGTAAACTGCTGACTCGTTCTATTTATAACGTACTGACACAACGTTCAAATGATTTGCAATGCTTTGTAGCATCCAGTGTAGATACGATATGACAGCAAAAGCATGGCGAGTGTGAAGAAAATAAAAGTGGAACCAGAAAATAGATGATTCAAATGTGAATGGACTGAACAGTTTTGAGTGAGTGAGTGACTGATATCTTTGTTAGAATTCGGCCCTCGGTGAAAACTAATTGAGGAACCCTGCTTTAAAATGAATAAAAATGGCAAGTCACCCATAGAGTGTTGACCCAGTCTCCAGTCTCTGATGGTGGTGTGTTTGTGCGTGTCAGATCGGGATGCCTCCTCATCTGGAGAAGGTTCGAGATCGTCTGGCGGAGAACATCCATGAGCTCTGGGGAATGAACAAGATCGAGCTGGGCTGGTGCTACGGGAAGGTATCGCTCCGACAGTCACACAAACACACGCTGATTTCAAGAAGTTGTGTATCACGTGACCTGTGCTCGTCGTTTGTTGAGTGCATCGTTTTGCTTTCTCTTTTATAATTTGCTCTTCAATTAAAACAGAGGGTAAGTGACTTATAACCATCCTCCTGTCATTGTGCCGTCCAGATCAGACCCGTCATGCTCATGTAGTGTCATCGATGTGATTGATTTACTCAGTAATAATTAAACACATTCGTTTCCTCTCTGGAAATCTCAGATTCGTCTCTGGTGTCTTTAACCCTCATAATGCATTCAGTAACTATTTATTTTATAAAACAGTCATAACAATGTTTTTCAACTAAACCTATTTTGTATCTTATAGGCAGCTTCTCATTAATGAGCGAATGTGAAAATTTTTTAAAATTTTTGAATGTTAGTGTGTTATTACTGCATTTACCCCTTTATTATTAATTTAAAAATTGATAAGTTCTCTAAAATTTTTTATTTCACAATATATATTAAAATTTTTAAATGATGCTCTCTCTGTATTATATATAATACTATACTATATTTAATTATATTTTTATTTT